TCATAACTCATTCCCTTGCCCAATTTGCTATGCATCTTTCCTTATTTGAGTTGGATGGCTTTCGTGGGTTGTGATAGAGAACATGTCAAAACCATTGGATGATGTAACCAACAAAGATTTGATCAATTTTGCCTCCAAGAACCAATGGATGGAACTGCCTTGAAGGTTAAAGGAGTAATAAAATCGTTGTAAAGAAGAGGAAAGTGCTTGCACTCACTATGTCGAATCATGTGGGATTGTTCAATTCACTCATCAATATCAAGGGTAATAGTTAATTGACCCGACCTTAGATTTGACTGCCCAATCATTTGATGAATTGCAAGACCCTCTGGTTGGTCTGGTCATTTAAATGGCTTCGGGCGACCTCCCATCACTTTCATCGATGCCCTCTGATGAGGGTGCTACATCACTCACAATAATAGAATCAACTTCTATATAAGGAGGGCTTCAATCTTCTTTATGGGATTTGATCTTTTTTTGGAGTTTTTATTTTATTTTATGTTGTTTATTCTCATAGATGACCCAAATTTGATGTTCTGAATCATGATCCAGCTCTGACTGGCATGTGAGAGAATCTGACTAGGGCGCCAACGATAGTAGGCTAGGTGTCAGGAAAGGGAAATTGGCTCTCGAGTGAAGATTATGGAATTATCATCAGAACAATCCTCCAGATACACGAAGAGAAGAATTTGATGGGCCCCAGAATTATTCTATTTCTTTAGCTCACTGTTTGCATGAGACTGAGAGTTCTTTTGTTTGATCAATAGTGATTCAGTAGAGCAAAGAGATGTGTGAGCTTCTCGCTTATGTGAAGACAATGGAGTAGATGAAAGAGGTGGTGTCATTTCTTCACCGGGAACCGTCAGACTATCAGAAGAGATCTCTAATACTCCAAGCACTCAAGTTGAGTCAGATTGGTGGAGTCAATTTAGGTCTGGAGGGGGGAAATTTTTGTATAGAAGACTGCTTTGACTAGGGAATTTTTTAGCTGAAGTGCTGACGGATCCCCTTGTAAAGTTTATTATCTCAAGCTACCCTCCGATAATTTTTCATAATTTAAATCTTCTTCAAAATAAAACTTATTTTTATCACTATTTATGTGTTGATGTAATCCCTTTGTTAGCGTGATATGAAAACTATTATAGAGTTTCATTTATACCTCTGCATGACAATTAAACTTCCTTTATATATATATATATATTATATATATATATAAGGGCCTAGGGTTATTGTGATTGCGCTTCCTTTGCCTTTTCCTTTCCTTTCTCTCGCTCTCCCTTTTTTTTTTTTTTTTGTCTTTGTTCTTTGGTTCGATGGCTACACGGTACTCATATTTAGATTTTGGATCGCTTCCCCAAAATGTTCTATCTGGGATGTCCTAAGGTGAAGTTGATTTACTGCAGGAGACCTGTGTCTTCGATCTTACTTTCATACTCAAGTTCGCCAGAATGGACAACCGAGCAACTTCTCTTTATGTTCACAATCTCTTATTCTATAAAGATCAGTTTAGGTTTGGCCTCTAACTGTCATTCTACATATTGTTATGTTCTATCTTTTCACACTACAAAATCATCTCGGCCTATATCAAATTAATCTTCATTGCAACCATCATGATCTTTAACATATTCTGCTATTAGTCAAGTATATGTGGTCTATCAAGCTCTTCAATCATTGGTTCTTCATTTGGGTCAGCCCAAATGGGTTTGTCTTGTTTTATTTGGCCAACAAATTCCATCTGTTAGGGCTGGAAAATAAGGTGAGGAAATAGAAGCCTCGCTTCTACCTAGATTCCTCTATGCATGAATGAGTTTCTTCAGTTAGCAAATCCACTAGGTCATGCTCAAGCTCTCCTTATATACATAATTCCCTAAATGCCATAAAAAAAATTGCCAAAAGAACCTTTGATTTTTAGCAATGTTGATACACTCAAGTTAGGTGTAGCTACGCTCAAGGTAGGTGTAACTATGCTACAAGCAGGCGTAGATACAATAAGACTATACTAGTCACTAAAACGTAAAATTGTTTTACATCATATTTTAACTCTGCTACATACGATCAATAGCGGTAACCATCTAAATACCACGAAAATAACTTTCATATGAGTAAACTTGAGAAAAAAAGAATTAAAACATGATATTTAAATAAGAAAACCTTACAAATTTGAGTCATATCAGCTTTCTCAAATGGTTTTAACATATGAGATCGCCCAACTACAACATTTATGATCTCGACCTTAAGCATTTTATCCACCTATTGTAAAATATTTGAATAGTAATCCAATTAGGTAGGGCATGGAGTGGGCACTTCCTAAGCAGTTTTTTGAATCTCTCTCAAGTTTCATAAATTGATTTTCTATCTAACTGAGTAAATGATGTGATATCGTTTCTAAATTTGCCAGTTTTGGATAGAGAAAAATATTTAGTTGTCAATTTTTTAGCAAAGTGATTCCATGTGATAATCGATCAAAAAGCTAAGGATTTTAGCCACATCTTACTCTTGTCCCTAAGTGAGAAACAAAAAAAACCTTAGTCGAATGAAATAGTTAGAAACATTGTTATACTTGAAGGTGACGTTGAAACCTACCCTCAGATAGATAAATCGACATTTGAGAATCAGCTGCCACAAATTCCTTATGGTTAAGAAAAACTTAACAATAATATTAGTCCTCAACTCTTCTTAATATTTAGAAATAGAATAATGAATATTTTTCCCTAGTTGTCAACTTTTGAAAGGAATTTTATTGAAGAAATATCAAGGATTCATATGATCCAAGTCAAATAAGCATGACTTTTACCTTAGAAAACACAATATTGTAGATTTATGATTTTGCAAAATTAGGATTTGAGAAATCTTTAAAATTTCACGAACTTTCAACACTTCAAACTAGAATAGAAGTCTACCATTTCTTAAAAATTAACTCAATCTCTGTGAGATCGATATGCAACTCTTCAATTCGTATACTATTTGATTGACATGTATATTTGCGTGGTTGACACGCGGTTCACGTCATCACATATCAATTACTGGACTAAATCTTAGGAAATTTACTATGATATTATTCTACAAACTTAAATTTAAAATGTTCATATTTTTGTTAGCAATCTAACACCACATGTGGCTCATAAACCTAATTTCTAGTGAGATAGCATTAATTTTAGATAGTTGTTAATTTAGATTTGGGATGCAAAAAATGATGCTTAAATGTTATTAATTCTATGTCGAAATAGTCTTATTTTTTAGAGCACTTTGTCATTATAAATATCTCATGAGTTAATAACCAACCTATTGAGATTATTAGCATTTTGGAAAAACGAAACCTATGTGGATGAAAGGAACAAAATCTAGTTTTACTAATGTGGTGTTGTTGTGTCAAGCAGCGGGTTAGAGCCAATTGGGTGGACCCACAACCTTTTAGGGTTCAACGATAGTTTGTTGTTTTTGAAGCACTCTGCTCTTTTTTGACCCGTTTGATTTATGAGAAATTTATATACATACCACAAAAATTTTATCTATTTGGATATCTAACACTCAAAATTTGATATTTATACTTATAACACTTTAGTGCAATAAATCTATGCATGAAAGGGAATATTTCACTTTTATGAAAGTGATGATAGTATTTTTTATTTGATGTTCTATATTTGAGTGATATGCATGTAAATATAAATGTTTGCATGCTAAATTTGTATATAAATATAAGAATTGTGTAGTATGCATGTAAATGCCCCTTGATTGCATGACAAAAAGCAGTCTAAACTTTACATCAACGACATTCTTATAATGAAATGATTTTTTTAAACTACTAGCAAATTTATAGTCAGTTTAACCCTCAATTTACTTTTAAAATATTTAAGTTTAACATTAAGTACAATTTTATTAAAAATTTTACTTTTGAAACTTACGCTTTGGCAATAAAATTCTGAGATCCCATCAAATACTACTTCCAGACAGCTGGACCTATTGGCTCATTGCAGAAAGAGCCCCCTTTTATCGGAAAAAAATTTGCGTACGATAGACGTACGCACTGCGTACGATTTTGAAGTTATACCGAGTGTATAACTGGGTTATATCCGCGGTATAACCCCTTGTAACCTCCATTCCATGTAACCTTCTGTAACTTTACTTGTAACCTACAAATAAGTTCCGCGCTTCTGTTATCATATATTAAGAATTTATTAGTACGTTACAGGTAGGTTACTGAAGGTTACATGGATGTTACAAGGGGGTTATATCTTGGATATAACCCCCTTATACTCTCATTATAACCTCAAAATCGTACGCAGCACTGCCTACGTCTATCGTATGCAAATTTTTTCCCCTTTTATCACCATTTGTATTTTCTCTCCTGACTTGAATATGTGATCCATCCATTTTTTTTTATTTATAGTGTTTTTGGAAGCGCATTTCAGCTGTAGAAACTCACATAAGACATTATATTGCTTCAACTACCTTGCATGCTGAGATGTATGAATTTAGAAAGAATTTACATTCTAAAATGTTTAAGTTATATCCAAATTGTCCAAACACAAACCATTTACTCTAACAAGATCCGTGGAAGACTTGATAAAGAATTTAACTAATTAGTACTACAACCAAAATACCTGATTTTAATTTTTCAAGAACTTCTAAATTTGACCAAAATTTCTCTGAGGTTGGTTTGTTGCCCCTGCAATCTCTTAACAAATCATTCCAAAAAATCAAATGTATTGCTTCCAATGCAAGTCTTTTGCCTTATATTGCCTGTCTTACAACTAAGATCCTCTCTAAGTTTTCTTCTTCATGTAAAATTAATAATTTATTATCAGATAAAGACCAATAAACTGTCTTCTTTTAACTTCTGTAGGCCACCAATGCTGCGCTTAGTTTCCCTATTGACAACTTTATAATTTCTAATTAATTTGCATAATTTATGTATTGTAATTAATACATACCTATCTTAGTCGCTCTTAATTATAAATAAACAAGCCCATCTTCATCCAACTACATCACTCTCATTGAGAAGAAAGAAACAAATTGGTAACACCTCCTTGTTTTCCCATATATCTCTTCAAAAGGCAAAAATGGGTGGAAATCCTCCCTGTGCTTCCTGTAAGCTCTTAAGAAGGCGATGTGCTAAAGACTGCATATTTGCTCCTTTCTTCCCTTCAGAGGATCCCCATAAGTTTGCTATTGTTCACAAGGTCTTCGGAGCCAGCAATGTCAGCAAAATGCTTCAGGTTTCTCTCTCTCTCTCTCTCTCTCTCTCTCTCTCTAGATGGATGTTATTGTGGTGTTATTGTGATGATATTATGATAATATTTTCACAGTAAACAAGTAACGATTTCATAAACCTACCAGTATGTTGGCCGCAACATAAACTCATAGATTCACAAAACAACTTATTTTAAACAAAAAATTGATGCAAATATTTGTAAATTATGATTAAAATGGTTTATAATTGAATTATGATAAATCTAAGAATTAGAGTTCATCTTAATTTTGATATTGCCTTTATCTTTTCTTTTTTTCTTCTTCCGGATCTGCTATCGTAGCTTCTGAAATTGGCTTTTATCTTCTTCTTTCAGAGATCTATTTTAGTGAGTCAAATTAAAGATCAAATCAGAGTTGACTCAGTTTTCTCCTACCTAAGAGCTGATGATAATGAAATTGAAATTTAGACCATCCACGGAAATTTTGTGTGGGATGAGAAATTAAATGACTAGTTTAGCTTGAAATATATCAGCCTGCTTTCTTAATATTCAATATAGGAGTAATATTACACTATTTCAAATTATAGCTAACAAAATCATGTCAAGTTGACATTTTTATTTTTATTTGTAAGAAAAAAAGAGAATTTACATAAATAAGTGCTAATGCCTAAATTTTATTTTTGTATATTTATGCAACTCAAATCTTAAATATCACATAAAAAATATCACTATTTTAATTTTTAAAAACTTAAATACAATTTTTCTTTCATAAAGTTATAGACACAATAATTGGGATTTAAGTCCTAAATATTTAAATACATAGGAATTAGGAGGTATGTATATATATGTAAATCACTATTTTAATTTGAACAGGATCTCCCTTTCCAACAGAGAGCTGACGCTGTGTGCAGCCTCGTCTACGAAGCCAATGCGAGAATGAGAGATCCCGTATATGGCTGCGTGGGCGCAATCTCTGCGCTGCAAAACCAAGTCCAACAACTTCAGATGCAGCTCGCCATGGCTCATGCAGAGGTCCTGTGCTTTCAGATGCAGAGCGATTCTTCTTCCTCTTCTTCCTTGCTGAATCAGAGGCTGGAATTGGACGAGGGAGGAGATGATAAATATTCCATCTTGCTGAACAATAATATGGCCATGTCCGGTGTTCCTCAATCCATGAATTATTCTGCATCCAGCAATGTGTTTCCGGAGTCTCTCAAGAGAGAATCGCTCTGGATTTAGGAATAAAAATTTAAATTTTTGCTGTGTGCCAGCCATACTAAATTTTGGTTTAAGAGCTTCAACTTGGGAAAAATGAAAATAATATAGAATATGACGAATTAATGAAACTCCTTTTAAAACTGTAGTTAATCTTTTTTTTGTTTTGGGTCTTCCGAGCATCAAATCACAGCATGTGAGACATTGGTCTCATTTTTTTTAGGATTATTGACTTAGTAAAAAGTGTCGCTTAGTGGTTAAGAATAAGGGAGAAATAGTGTATAGCTTAGGTTACTTCACATGGGAGCTAGCTTGTTAATATAGCATTGTAAATATTTGACATTTGGATCAAATAAGCGTAAATGTCGCACCTATCATCATCTATCTATAGATTTGACCTGATGAAAAGGCTCCCGTCCAGCTGCATAGGAAAAGAGTAGATAAGATTATCAAAATTAGGATAGATACCCAGAAGATAAATTCATTTTCAATCAAAATTCTAAGCCGGCTGTTTAGGTGTGTAAGTGAACCATGTCGACTCAGGCTCGGCTCGATAAGTGGCTCGTGAGTTGAGCTTGATGAGCTAAGAAGTCGAGCTCAAGCCAACACCAGCTGAACTCGTTAGCTCGTGAGTCGGCTCATTTAAGAAAATATTAATATAAAATATACTCAAAGATTATTAACTTTCAGGACTTTATCTTTAAATTATAAAAGATACTTAAGAAAATAATATTTTATATTCTATATTAAAGTATTTTCTTATTATTAATCTCCTAATTACTCATTCTATTTTTCATTTTATTATGACTATCTTAAATTAATAGTATTTTCTCTCTTTTATGACAAACAAGGCGCTGGTGAGACCGCTTGTACTTGTTAACTTACGCTTGAGTTTGAAATCGATTAATTAGTCAAGCTCGAGTTGAGGATGGCTCAAGCTCAACTAGACTCGGTTCGACTCATTTAGAACCCTATAGTGTCGTTATTGGTCAATTACTTAATATTACTATACTAATATATTTTTTTAATTTTTCAATGTGTGATTAAACTCTAAATCGCCCATGCTTCAAGAATCTCTCCTGCACATATCGGGTGCGCTAAATCGACCATCTCTTGTTCTTAAGTGCATGCTACTCATGAATTATGGATCGGAATCCACTTTAATTCACTCCATTAGAGTGTTCATAGAAACCCGATGGAGGGTTTATAATAAAATTAATGAAACAATTTCAATTAATTTAAACATAAATTGAATGGCATTTGTGTCCATTCATAAAAATTTGGATTTTCCGATGATGGCGGCAGGGGTCGCGGGACGCGCCGTTCAAGCAGTGGATTGAGATCGGCGGACAGGCAGGTCAGGCCGACGGGCAGATAGTCTGGGCCGGAGCGGGCCAGGATGGGTCTAATTGGGCTGGTGGGAGGGCGGCGGAGCAGGGTGAAGGCTAGTCATGCAGGCTAGAATGGACAGCATGGACTCGCGATTTGGACCGTGCAACACCCTGTTTCGTGGGGTACAGTGCATTCGTGAGCAAGTGTGAGAGTTGCCTAAAAGACTGCGGCAGTCTGTTAGATCGAACCTCGTGCATAGTGTGGAGGGGATGGTAGGATCCGCTGCACACGGAACCATGTGGATCGTTAAGTTCCTCCCTACTATAGCAAGTGAAATGTGTATTTCATGCGGAGTGAGCCGTACACCTGTTAGATTGTGCAAAATCGGATGATGTTTAAACTGCTGTGACAACATCAGATTTTAGTTGTTTTTAGTCTTTTAGAGCCTATAAAAGAGCCAAAAGGAAGAGAAAGAAACTTGCACAGTTTGAAGGAGTTTTTTTGTGTTGCTACTAATTTTTGTGCTCCTATGTCAATTTTTTGGAGAGGATTTTTTAATGTGTTATGCTTTCAAAAAGGAATTCCCATGCTTATGTTGCACTTTTTGAAGGAGGTTTTCCATGCCGCAAGATGTCAACATCTGGGAAATCATGTCCCTGTGAAAATTAGTGAAATTGTTAGAATATTGACAATGCAAACACCCTTCGAAGATGAGCTGGCTCTTTCTTTGAGAGCATGGAAGACCAAGCCTATAACCACGCCCTTGTTGAGCAAAAGAAGGTGAATCACTCCCGTGCAATTGGCATATTATCATTGGTTAATTAGTTAGAAAAATATCAGAATGACGTATCCTCCATAGAGGTTTTCCTCTTATAGGAACACCAAGAACTGATAGATACTCAAAAAAAAATTGAGTGAGACACAAGCTAATTTCAATCAAAGCGTTGAGACTTTGCAACCTTTTCAAGCAATGATAATGATCCTTGAAGAGCTGAATACAAAGTTATGTTCCCCACGCAAATAAAAATAATTTCATTGATGCTTCCAGCAAAGGGTTTTTCACCATACCGTTTTATAATAGCTAACATTGAGGACATGTCTTTGATCTAGGAGTCAAAAGATCTCCTCTCTTGCTCAAAAGTCGAGAAGCTGAAAAATGCATGTAGGAGCGTACTAACGATGAAGAAGATATTGAAGTAGATTGATGTTTTTATTTCTAATATTATATTGTAGTTTTTATACCTGTGTGTGTTGGTTTTTGTAGATTTTTTATTATTTGATATAACAATCGTGCACGACAACAATAGTTTTGTTTGTATGCCCTTCTTTTTCTTAATATTATTGTATTGCATTTTTTTGTACATCTTTAGATGTAGGAAAAAAAAAAGTTTATTTCCACTTATGAGGCTGCTTTTTTCTTTTCCTTTTGATATGTAGTTGCCTCTCTTCTGGGATGTTTTTGCCCCACATTTAGAACATTGTTTCCCAACTTCTAGACCATCATTGGCATATTTCTAAGTTATAGTTGATGCTTTCATCTCCACAACTAAAGCATGGTGACATCGAACTCTTTTGAGGCTCATGCCTTCTAAGATTCTTTAGCATCTTAAATATGTAGAAGTCTGCAATTAGAATTAGCACCTCTGCTCTACATAGAAAAATCATGTACTTTTTGAGGTTTATGTCCTTTGAATTTTGTACCTTCTAAGGCTTTTGATATACTTATACCTTCAACTGCTTATAACTTTTTGAGATTTTTTTATATACATATACGTTCTAATACTGGCTTGTAGTATTCTTATATTTTTTATTTAATTATATCTTTCTGAGGCTTATAGCAATCTAAGATTTTCATGTATGTAACTGTATCTTTTGAGACTTGTAGTCTTATGAGTTTTGTTTCCTCTAAGGCTTGCATCTTCTGAGATTTTTAATATAGTTGTACCTTCTGAAGCTATTGATATATTTTTATCATCTAAAACTTATAGCCTTCTGAGATTTTTGAGTGGAGATTTTGTCAATTACTTGTTTTCCTGAAGTCTTTCTAGTGAGGATTACGTACACTACTACTTTCTCGTCAAGGATTCATGATAGGCATGCCTTCCAGTGGTATAGGTAGAGATCTTTTTTTTCACAACAAATGTTCAGCCTTTCATAGGCTGCTAGTCAAAGTGCATCTGTTTGACGAATGTAACCTTTAATAAAAGAAGTCGATGGGAATCCATCAAGAATTTTTTATCTATCTGAGGATGTTAGTTGAAGCTTCAAATTTATGAACATATCATGTGATGAAAGAGATCAAATCAAATTCCTCTGAGATCTATTAAACCTATAATGAAGTGTCATAAAATATTCTATTTCTCGAGATTGAGGTGTAAGACGAAATAAAATATATCTTTTTTTTTTTGAAAATATGGTTGCAACCATTCTCAAGAATGATGTTTGGTAACTTACTTTTGAATTTATTGTCTCCATCAGGGGCGATTTTTGCACAAGCTTATAAAGTAGCTAATATATTGAACATTGATGAGATCAGCTTATTGATCAAATTTAGGAGAAACTCTAGTATGATGAGAGGGTGCTGAGGAAGTGCTCCTTGCGGTGAAGGTTGTTCCTTAGTGTTGCAGTGATTCTCAAATATTTTATTTCTGAATAGAACGTGTGATGACTACCCAACCATACTATTTCTCGGGATGTTAACATGAATGAATTTTTGAGAGTACAGCGAAAGTTCCCCCTTAGTGTGGAAGCAATTTTCATAGACTTTATGTCTAAATAACATACGAGAAGGCAACCCAACCAAAATCATGCACGGGATGTTAACGTGATAGACCTTTCGAGACTACAGTGAAGGTTTCCCTAAACATAAAGGAATGCTTCAAAAATAAACTTGATGTATATTATTAAGAAATGAAGCTGAGGCTCAATATCCTATACTTCAAGTTTATACCAAATGAAACTTCATTTCTCACAGACGACACCAATATAATGGCGTGTCAGAAGAATTGTGATGATTGAGTGATAAATTAGCTTCCTAGCGTATTACAAGATCCATCACACACAAATAAAAGAAAGCAGTGGGAAGAGACACCCTGATTTTTACATGAAAAATTCTAGAAATGAAAAGCATTTAGTAGTAATTCACTAAAAAATTGTAATTATAATGATCCACTCTCGTTTTGAATTAGAGAAGATGAAATTTCAATAGTTTTTCAACAATAATTGTTTTAACTGGCCGCGAACGCCATAGTTTGTCATGAATGTTATTGATGGTGGCTATAGCGCCAGCATATTATATAGGTTGTAGTTAAACGTATGGTAATAGTTATCCATGTAGGCCTTAAGTGTTAGCTTTAGGAGCACTAGTTGGAGATAAAGATCGTAGTAAAGAGTTGCAGGAGTTGTGAGCCACAAAGATCGTAGTTGGTCACATATGGCGCAGTGATAAGCTATGATAACATCCATTGTAGTACAGGCTGAAGTTTGGAGCTACATGAGTTGTAGAAAATATAGGTCGTAGTTGGTTATTTTGGCAGTAGTGGTGAGCTGCAATAGCGACTATAAGCCATAGAGGCAAAAATTGGGATCTGCATGAGCTATGAACCACGTAAGATATAATGGAGAGATGAAATAAGAGATCTACAAGAGTACAGAGAAATTAGTCATCATATGCAATCTGCGTAGTTATATGATCTAAGGGATGCATTGTTACACCATCATTAGAGTCGGTCGTTACACCTTCATTGTGGTTTCTTGTTGAGTCTTATTTGGGGCATGTCGTTGCACCATATTCGAAGCACATCATTGTACCATATGTAAAGGCGAGTTGTTACACCATTTTTGGGGTGCATCATTACACTCTCTTCAGGGTGCGTCGTTACGTTGTATTTGAGGCATTGTTGCATCATATTTGGGTTGCATTATTACGCCATGTTCAACATGTTGCATTGTTTTACATGGTGCTTTGTTACTCTATTACTTTGGTCATTACCATGCATGGTGTTTCATTACTCTATACCATATGTCATTATTTCACAAGG